AATGGTCAGGTAAATGATGGAGAAATTGTAGCCTTTGGTAATTGCCACAATTTCTTTGTCGGATAGAATGGATATGAAAGGTAGATATCTGGAGCCATAGCCACCTTATATTTTAATTATAATTTCTTCACCACCCAAAAAACACAAGTCATTTGGGTGTGTGTAACAGGGGGAGAAGCTGACAATTATGGCCATGGCAACGGCTCTTCGAAGACTTTCCTCTTCTGTTGACAAACCAATTAAGCGTCTCTATAATGGCGGCTCTCTTTACTACATGGTTTGTCTTTCTCTTTTCTTCTCAAATAAGTTCCTTTGTTCCTTTTGTATGTTGTGGTCATATGTGTATTTCGATTTGATTATACTTTTGAAATTATGGGTTCAGAATGTAATATTTATTAAACTTTTAATGAGTATTATATATTGTTGAAAATACTTAGTTCAGTTGAGCTCGCGGTGCATAGGCTGCATCAGCCTCTGGTTTTGGTGTAAATTTATTGGAGGGTTTAGTTTATTTGACTTTATTCTTGCAGTCATCGTTGCCTAATGAAGCTGTTTACGAGAAGGAAAAAAATGGTGTCACGGTAAGCTTAAGGATTGTTATATATCTGAAGTAGTAGTGCTATTTGAATTCTGTTCATTCTTTGTATTTTTTTTAAAAAAACTTGGTAATCTTGGAATTCCAGTGGCCAAAGCAACTGAATGCTCCTCTAGAGGAGGTTGATCCAGAAATTGCTGACATTATTGAGCTTGAGAAAGCACGCCAGTGGAAGGTTCTATCTTCTTCTTTTTTTCAATTTTCTTCATTTTCTTCTTGCATCTGTATTTTAATCGCTCTTCAGTATCACGACCCCTTTACAAAGAAGTATTTTTAAAATTTTTTTTTTAAAAAAAAGTAAAAATAAAGGAAGCAGGATGTCCGTAGACTGGGTTATAATCCAATTTGAATTTTAGAAATGACTTTATTTGGATTAGTAGCTAATAAGCTGGAAACTTGAACATGAATTATTTGAGTCCATGTATATGTTGTTTTGGTTTTTAACTGAATACTAGTAATAGACTAGTCTGTTTGAAATCTCTTCTAGCATAGTAGGTTGTAAAGCATGATTTTTTGAATTTTTCCTATGACTCTTACCTTAAAGATATATGATGCCTTTGGAATTGCTTGATAAGATAAGAAAAAATTGTTCCTTTAGTCATCTTATTATCTCCTATATTACATGTTTCTATTCGTACGCTTTGTTCTTCCATGTAAAATGCATTGTTGCAGTTTGGTTTAGAGGCTGTTTAGCTTACGAGAGTTGAAATTATTTATTTGTAGGGACTTGAACTCATTCCTTCAGAAAATTTCACTTCTGTGTCTGTAATGCAAGCTGTTGGATCTGTTATGACAAACAAGTACAGTGAAGGATATCCTGGGGCTAGATACTATGGAGGAAACGAGTACGCAGAAATGCTCTAAATTTTTTCCATTTTCCTAAGTTTTTTGGCGTTGAAGTATATTTCATAAGCTATTATATATCCGCATCAAAATTTTCTGTTTGTATTTTGAAAGAATGAGTGGTTGTCTAGGTATATTGACATGGCGGAAACCTTATGCCAGAAACGTGCCTTAGAAGCATTCCGGTTGGATCCTGCAAAATGGGGAGGTAATTGACTGATTAACTTCTGGTAGTCTGAAAGTAATTATATTTCAGAATCTGCATGCTGCAACACTTAAAATACTGCTAGGAAAACTTTACTCACCTCCGATAAACCTTTGTGATGCAGTG